AAAAATTCTTTCTAACGTCTCTGTGGCTCATCTGGGTACTAAGTTTCCACCTGTGTGTGTGTGTGTGTGTGTGTGTGTGTGTGTGTGTGTGTGGGTGTGTGTGTGTGTGTGGTGTGTGTGTGTGTCTGTTCACACAGGGACACACACACACACACACACTGTTCCTAGTTGTGGTAAAACTAGTAGGGGTAAAACTTATTATGAGCTAAGGGAAGAGAATGCTTCAAGCCAGCTAATGAGTATCAGAGACTGTCAAAAATCTAGAGAGTGAGAGAGAGAGAAAGAGAGAGAGAGAGAGTGAGAGACAGACAGACAGACACAGAAAACTGATATCTGCAAAAGCGGTGATCAAGGGTTAATAATTATTCCTGCAGGCACAGACAGACAGACAGGCAAGCACAAACAGGAAACTAGCAGAGTTCACGCAATCTTCACCCAAAAAAAATTCAAGGCCCTGACAAGATACGTGGGTAACGACCTAATTACCTTTGATAGAGACGCGGCCCCCAGGCCTAACAAGGAGACCCTCCACCCTCCCCACCCCCCCTCGTTAGTAGCAGCTACAAGCACAAGCGATTAATATCAAACGGACGTTTTAGATGGAGGTGTCAGTCTGTCAATCACTCTTATCCTTCGAGAGACGTCTTAACCGTCGTACTCAAAACCAAAGATGGTTACCCTGTGGTTAACGTCTAGGGCTGTTACAGTGGCCAGGGGGGGGGGAGGGGGGGGTGTTAATGACCCAACCAGCAGGCCCAGGAATTACTAGGATGAGCCGTGATTCTTTAGAATCTAAATAATTCTAAAGAGAATATGATTCTAAAGAATCTAAAGATTCTTTAGAATCATATGACTGTTTATAGATTCCTAGGCTGTTAGTGACAAGCAGGACAGCCACATTCCTAGGTAGTTTAGGTCCTAATGAGAGTAGGATTCCTGGGATGTCAGTGGTGAGAGTAAGATCACAATCTGGTACTGACCAGGAGAACCTGACGATCCTTACTCGCGGGGACATGAACTTACAGGTTCCAGAGCACAGAGGAAATGAGAGCATCACGGAGAAATATCCCCCCCCCCAGAACACCCGAACACTGACACACACTGTAGTTACAAACTGAGAAAGATTACCACTGAGACTGCTGGCTTCAACCGCTGACAAATACACAGTTATGCATCAGTTCCTCCTGCTTCCACCCTTGGAGGAGGAATCTTGAAATCTTGCCTCTTTCGACATACTGTAAGAGGCGGAGCGGGCGTAAAGAGGGGTATAAAGGTGTCTTACTGCCTATTATGGTATTCAAGCTCTTAGAATAGGGAATCTCCTGCATATATAATGCATTCAAATGCAATTAAAACCAACGCTGATCTTAATTGCGATGCAAAGCCGAATTAAAAGATAATATCGGTGGCTATTTTCAGAAGAATTATATTGAACTCCTTGTATAGGGGGGTTGTTTCCTAAGGATGTTGTAATGAAGAAGCTCGGGGGGAATGGTCACGGTCACTAAGAGTCTAATTGATCAGATGAGCAGCCAGAAGACCTAGCCAGACCGCGGGCACAATGAGCCCTGGAACGAACAAGGTTATTAAACGGAGTACGAGGAATGGGCTGTTAAGACAGGCAAAAATACGCTCAACCTCACATCACTGGAGTGAAGAGAAGCTAGAGGAGACATGATCTTAACATACACGATGGGTAGAATGGGCAGAGAACATGCTGACAAAAGTGGGCATGGCTTGAGACCCGATAAACAACAGATGGACAAGAAAACAGTTATTTTGCAATAGTCGTAAACAAATGGAATGAATTAGATGGGGAGATAAAAAAAAAAAGAGTATAATATCTCCAACAGAAGATACAATAGAGGCAAGAGGGCTAAGCATTTACCTGTTGTTTACCCGTGTAGTGTTTCGAAAGTTACTCTACTCCTACAGCCCAGCCAGTGGCCACGATGTTTTGACGATGACGATATATATATATATATATATATATATATATATATATATATATATATATATATATATATATATATATATATATATATATATATATATATATGTCGTACTAGTAGCCAGAACGCACTTCTCAGACTACTATGCAAGGCTCGATTTGCCTAATAAGCCAAGTTTTCATGAATTAATTGCTTTTCGACTACCTAACCTACCTAACCTAACCTAACGTTTTAGGCTACCTAACCTAACCTAACCTATAAAGATAGGTTAGGTAGGGTTGGTTAGGTTCGGTCATATATCTACGTTAATTTAACTCGAATAAAAAAAATTGACCTCATACATAATGAAATGGGTTGCTTTATCATTTCATAAGAAAAAAATTAGAGAAAATATTTATTCAGGAAAACTTGGCTTATTAGGCAAATCGGGCCTTGCATAGTAGGCTGAGAAGTGCATTCTGGCTACTAGATACGACATATATATATATATATATATATATATATATATATATATATATATATATATATAT